CTTATGTTATTTATAACTGTTTTTATAGGAAGTATTTTTTATGAAAATAATAACTTGTTTAAATTGATGTTTCTATCGTTTTTAAAATAAATTAAATATCAGTTTTGCAAAGCATTTCTCAATTTTAATTTAATAAGAAATGTTTTTTAATGACTTATTAATTATCTGTACAATTTTTTAGAAACATTGTAATTACGATCAATCTGAGCAAGTGACAATGTAAAATTATATTTTATGGCATAAAATTAATACCATATTTTTTCTAACATTTTGCGACTGAAATTTTATATTAACGCGTTAAACTTTGATTACATTTAAATTTAAAATATTTTTTTAAGTATGAAAATAAAATTAATAAAACTATTATTAACAAAAATTGTATTATATAATACATTACTATTGCATTATAATAAGATATATGATGAAAATAGTACCTGCAGAACGAATATCTTTAAGCAAAATCTTTCAGCCTCAAAAGCTTTGGTTTCTTTAGATATCTTAGTCTAATGCTAATATTGACAAAAGGATAACGCGAATTTAACGTAAACGTTTCACCTGTCTACGGTTATGACGACGAGAATAATTCTATGCGTAATTTGGTTTCACGATAAATTCGTAACCGCGGCTGTGCTCGACAGACCATAAATATGGAAAGCCTTAATGATATTGAGTACCGTGGCTGATCGGTTAACCGCCTTTACCGTTCGCGGTCGTCTATACAGAGCGGAAGCCGCGTTGTGCGCGAGTAATGCGCGAAATTTCCGCACAATTGTTTCCTCGCCGCATTTGCGGCTATTTCGAGATTCCAGCATCCATGTTTGACTTTTAGCTTTCAAACTGCAAATGTACGGTAACAATAAAAAAATTTGTCGTTTAAACGGAAAATCATAACTGACTAGAGAATATAAGAATACACTGTGTTACATATGTTTGCGTGAACACGAATGTCCTCTTAATTTTCGAAAAATATCAAGAACGTTCGTCAAATTTGTTATTAGTTAATAGGTGTTAGCTAATTTTAGCTTGCAATATTTTATCAAATCAGATTGTAATGGAGGAAAATTGACAATTTTTTCGCGAATAAAGCGAATGATAGAAATAAACTTTGTGCCATTCTATATAAATTGTGTATGGGCTAACAATAATAATAAGAAGTGACTACTCTCGTATCCGAAAATATCAAAAGTATTTTGCATTGTTTTGAAAAAGTATTTATTATTGAAGAAATTAAATATGGATTTTTTTATATCTCCAAATAAGTTATAAATTTAATATCTTTTAGCTTTTTCGCATCTATAATTAGTAAATTATATAAAAATAATACTATAATAACAATTAACATATAAATTAGATTAAATATACATATGTAAAATATACGTCATTGCTTATTATATTACAGAATTTATAAAGAGAGGATTATTAGTTTTTTATGTTTTCTATTTTATGTTTTTATTTAAGTTTCTTTGCTTTTACTTGTTGTAAGTAATGTTTGTTTCACAAAATATCTTCAGATTAGAGCCTATCATTATTTGACTTGTATGTTCGTAAAAAATTTGAGGTTTTATATTCGAAATGAGGGAAGTAAGGTGCATCCATATTTATCGATATACTTTTTTCGAAGACTTTTTTTTCGGCGTATCCTGTGAATTTCGCGCACGTTTCCAGCGTGTCTATAATCCGCGGTTGAATTTGTAGCATGTGGTCGATATAGAAGCATTAATAATGCCGGTTGTTGCGGCCGGCCAGATAAATACAGTTACTACTGGCCGCGGCGAAACTGCTGCACGCAACCGACTAGCATTCAGACTTCGGTTCTCAGGTTGTTTTGCGTTTCAAAATGTACCGAGTTTACTTTGTCAGCGGAAAAACGGCGGGGAGAGCGCGCGGAGTAACGAACCGGACTCCGTGAGAACGTCTCTCTGCTTTCATTGCAAACATTTATTCGTATCGGCATTATTTATACGATCCGCTGTGACAAAAGTTAAAGCACCGACTGACGATACTGCCGCCGCTGCCGGTGAGATTATTTCGTTCGCGATTCGTTCGGAAATCATATATATATATATATATATATATTTCGTATTTTCATTTGTGGCTGCGTATCTCGTAAATAGCGCGGACGTTAGATATTACAATATATGTACCGCTTTTTTTAAAATAATTTTTGCAAACTCGTTCATTTTTTAATTTTGTTACATCAACTTTATGTCGTTTGGAATCTCGATTAGGAGTTTCTAACGACATGATGATGAGTTACATATTTCTTGATTAGCGGTAATATATAATATGCGCCAATTTCTATTTCCATATCATATCGTTTGTAACAATGTTCCAATATTGATTACATTTATTTATGCCAATATATTTATGCTTATTGGATACATGCTGCCATGAAATTCTAATTTAACTAAACTCTAAAGCATAGTGCCGCATTGGCGGTACGCGAATATTGATTTTGAAATACAATTTATACTATACGGTTCACTCTATTGTCGGAAGCGACACAGCATATCGTCTACTATATCAAAACGTAGCTTTGTCAGGCTACATTTAATTTCATTACAAATTGATCATTAAGGTCATACTCGTACAGTATAGAAGTTATTCACGGCATTGTAATCATGAATTTATAGAAAGTTGTAATATTTCCAATTCCGGTTTGATTGAATAAACTGCTCAATATCAAAGGATTGAAACACATTAATTAACACTTGAAAAGCTAAACTTTAATAGTGTAATGCAAAAGAGATATTTTTTTATATTTACACGTTTATACTTCCTTTAATGTATTTTTTTATGCATCAATTTATATGCGGGTTTTAAAATGATTAATTATGAATTCAGGTGAAGTAAAATATTTCATCTATATATAGATATACAAGAGTAACTGATATAATAAATGAGACAATATCGTGTTATGTAGTACATACTACATTTTGTAGGCATAATGTTAGGCAGCTGAATAGCAAGCTCCATTTAGTACTCTTATTTGCGTTGAAATGTCTGCCGTGGGTCTGCGTTTCCATTTATCGAGAGAAAAATCGAACTTTCAGAGAGAGAGAAAAAGAGCGTCCCGTCGCCGTCAGCTCCCACGTTGTCCTTTCATCGTCGAGAATTTAATCGAAACTCGATCAGTTCTACTTCGCGACGTACCGTTTCGCAAAATATTCCCGGGAATAATGGGTGCTATTCGATACTCAGCGGAAAGTAGCGGCGGAGAACGAATAGCGGTGGCGCGCTATGTTCTGTACGTCTGATCAAAATTGATCACTATCACTTGACTTTCCGCACGAGTCAATGAAATATACCTTGATATAATCGATGTTTACAAATTGGATGATTTTATCAATTTAAGGTAATCTGAAAATGAATTTAAGATCGTTAAGTGATCATTATTGTTACTATTGCTGTTATTTGAATTTTTTATTTTTTTTATTTTTACCATTTAATTCTCGGGTAATATCCGTCAAACTTTATTAATATTTTAAGTGTATCAAATTGTTGCGATTTTCCAACAATGCTGACGATTATAACGGTGATAATTTACACGCTTTCCGAAAATATAACGGTCTTATCGTGGCAATTTGTCTGACAAGGTTACGGTTTGTGATTTCATCTGCGAGGTAGATTGAACGGTCTTGATATTTTCGCATTTTTGCGCTTACGACCTACATTTACAAGCACAGAATTTCCAAGTGGCATTATCGAACAGGCATACCGTATAATACAGTGCCAATAAAAGCAATATTGATTGACTGCGACGTGATTAATTATGATGAATGAGTGACTCGAATAACAGTGCGATTCCGTTTCGTCACGGACTTTGCGGCGTTAGTGATATTTTGTGGGATGTGAAAGAAAATGTGTAATCCGTCATAATCTGAATAATTACTTGACGATTTTTAATTCTGTGAAAACTATTCCGAAATACGCTAGAAACATATTTCTTGATATATAGTATAACTATTTAAAATTAAAATTTCTTTTGAATAACATAGAATAATCTTTTATAACAAGATATTTATAGCAAACAATAATATTTTTATAAGTTATTTTTTGTAATTATTTACGTAATTTTATTCTATTTTATCGAAAATAGAAAATTCATTTCTCTATATTTACTTAATTAAACGTAATTTAATTTTTGCTATAATTGTATATATTTTAAAAAACTTCGCGAATATGTGCTAAAACTTACGAATATTTTCCTATACTTTTTTCAAACTTTGAAACTTTTTAATTCTTTCGTGTAAATTGTACTTGTGTCCCTCCGCTTTTGATGCCCCGAAAGCTTTGAGATCTGTCGAAGCTATTGATGAAATAAACGTGTCATGCAAATGCGCCACATATATACCATCGCGGTTTTTAGAACATTTCGGCACGTAGACCTAAATATTTCACGCTTCGCTCGCGGTTAGGTAATCTTGAATATCGATATTCACCGCGTTCGGGCCTCGGTATATCTTTCGTAGCGTGAATATTCATGCCTCCACATATGTATACGTAACGTCTGTAACCGCGTCAATTTATAGATCTCGCTGCACGGGATTCAATATACAGAGCGCGAAATAGCTACGCATCCTTCACTGTAAATATGGCAACCATCCGTATAATCGAGATCAGTGACAGCCGCGAAGAAATATTAAATGAAAAAAATTTACATCAACCAGTGGAATTCAATTTCATAGTATACTTGTTTTCATTCTTTTGGTAATATATTTAGAATCATTATTGGAACGTACTAACATGTCAGAACAAGTAATTTTAAACTAGATTCTTAAATAGAACTTATTATACCCAGGAACATAAAAAAATCAGCTCCTACGGGAAATAGCGCAGAATATGGTTAATCTTACTTAAAAAGTGCCGTAATGAAATTTACTTTGGAATTTATTAAACTCCGCTTATTTTTATATTTTATATACGTCTAAAATATTAAAAAGAATTTTGAGTTTTTACTTTTTTCGGATATTTAATGTAATCTTCTCTTTTTTACCTTCATCTATTATTTATTATATAAGTTTTTCAATTTAACACTGCTTATACTTATAATAATCTTTGTCTTTCCGAGATGATAACTTCTTGAATTATCACGTACCGATTTTTCCTGGATACGATCCTAATTCTGGAGAGTTCCCTCTCTCATATAGGTGACTCGCAATTTCGGCGTTGCTCTCTTCTTTCGTTCGCTATACGTATGCCGACACCATTTCTGCGCCATTATCGCGCCCGTTTTCTACGGCGTGGCTCTCTTTGCGCTTTTTTCCAGTATCCGTAAGTACCCCCTTCCCCCTAACGTTTACCTAACCCGCGTTTCCCTAACCCCCCCAGGTTGGCATGGTTTTTCCGCGCTTATCTACGCGGCACTTATTTGCCGAGGCTATCTGGAAATTTAACGCCTGCGCCCTCACTAGGAAGATCACACCGCCATTCCGACACCCACCCGGCGCGGGCGTGCTCGTTCGAAACTATCTCTCACGTTTCCCGACCTCTCCGCGTATACACATGCGGACAAACACGTGCACACTATTCACGCACCCGTCGGTTTTCCGACGGCGGAAAACTCTGACCGGACATTATCCTCGCGCACCTCTCACTCGCGGACCTTGTTACCCCACGCTGTAGATACATGGATACGAGTGTTAGCTATGTCACGGGCTACGTAGAATTCTATTACGAGGGAATTTCCGCGAAATTTGTTTGCATTTGTAATGCGTGATTACTACTTTATTTTTTTTTTCTGAAGTGACGGAGTATGAGTTGCCAATTATATGTTAAACGCCTACAGATTTTTAAATCAACTTATGATTTTTTTCTAATTAAAATCAAGAAGAGTAAACAATATCTATTTTCAAATTGAGTTAAGTATTGATTTTCAACATCTAAATTGTAAAACTGATCGTATATTTAATCATGCTGGTCTAAGATTAGACGTGTTAACATTTCTGTAAAAATAAAGAATTTACTTTTTTTTACACTCAATAATTTTGCTGTGCAAGTAATATCGATGATTAGAACAATTTTTTCACGGAAATAATACAAAGTGAAGAATCTCGAGAGGGATCACTTCGTTTCACGCGAAGTCTCGCGAAAATCGCGTTTGGCTCTGACAATTTTTGTCTCTGCAACACTTCCATACGTTCCACTGTCGTGCCGCAGCATCGTCCGCGCAAAAAAGAGAGTGAGCCTTATGCCTAAAGTACAGACGCTGCCCCGGAACGTTTTTTTAAAGCTTACAGATTAGCTCGACAGAAATCATTTAGAACGCGCCGCACGCGTCGGATTATATCTCCCTTCGGATGATACCTCTCCTTTTTCTTCCTTCCGTCGACATGCTGGACCGGGGAAGAAAGGATTCCGTCTACTCGTATGATAGAGCGCACTACTAGCAGTCGTCTTGAGTCGAAGATGATTGTAGAAGCGCTGCCACCCGTTCCGAAAAGTCGCCCGAGGCTGCACCTGAACACTGAAAATACAAAGATACGTTGATATAGATAGCTTTAAATCTTTTAGATTTAGAATTAATTTTATTACGCAAGAGAATATAATGGAAACGAAAAATTTTTATTAAGTTAAGCAAAATTACTTCTTAAATGTTACTTAAACTGATCCAATTCCAAACTATTTAAAGATGTCTTTTACGTATACACATGTAATTGAGAAAATTTTATACATATAATACATTTTATATATAACTGGCTTATATATAAATTATTTTTTTTGATATTTAATTTATTTTATTATGGCATATCTTAGCTATCGCATTTTTTATTATTATCATCTGATTAATTTGACAGATAGAAATGGCGAAGTTTAACGATTGGGATAGAAAATCGGTAGTAAAATTTTTTTTGTTATTGCATACGGATCCCTACGTTAACATGCGAAAACAAAAAAAAATAGCAATAAGGTAAAAAGCTGCGAAACATTCGACACTCTGCGAGGTGGAAATTCGAGATGTTGCACGTGGTTAAATTGCAGCTAGCGCGCGTTCACCGCATTTCATCTCCCATGGGAAGTAGTGGCAGCTTGAAATTTTAATGTTGGCTGAACTCGGAGGTGGCGATAAGATCAAGTCGATTCACTACCCTTCTCTTCGAATGATAATGTTTGCTTCGAGAATATATTATCTTTCGTATATTAATAATTAAACGCATGCATTAATATATAATGGAGCAAAAAAATAAATGTTATATATACAAGTATAATTAATAATAAAAATAAATATAAGTAGTTTGACTACTTTTTAATACGAATAGCGTGTAAAATGCGTGTGCCTTGCATATAATGTATAAATATTGATAATTATGATTTATTTTAATGCTTTAATTTTGCATTTTTTTCTAATTTATTCGGTTTAATATAAATATATTAAGTAAAGAAAAAGTAACACATATGTAACATACAAATTATATTATAATATAATATTGATATTATATAATTTGTAATATACTAATACTTCTTGTTAGGTTGCAATTGCTAAATAAGTTTAAATTTGAAAATGGAATAAAATTCATAGGATTAAAGGATTTAACGCATTAAAAGATTAAGAGTCCGATAAATAGTGTTGATGTTTGCGGTTTCTCTCTCTCTCTCTCTCTCTCTCGTTCTATCTATCTGTCTATCTGTTTGTCTATTTTTCTGACTGTCCTTCTTTCAACGTAGCGGCACTGTCGTCGATGAAAACTTGAAAAGTTTTCGCTCTCCTTCGCGAGATCGCTGAAAGCGCAAACGATGTTGATTTCCCAACGGGGTGTCGCCCGTCTATAAATCTACACCCAGGGTTTGTTTAGTTGGTCTATATGCGCCGCGAGCGGTGGCTCGCCGCCGTGTATTTTTGAGTGACGCGAGAGGATATCCCGCCGAGCGGAAGTTTTGCGTCGTTGAGCTTAAACGCGGGCTACGCTTACGATCGAGAAATGCGAAACAGCGGTCGTTTATTCGATTCACGGGTCGTTTCTCGCGACGCGACCACCATTTTTACGGCGTGGGGAACACCTCGGCAATTATGCGACGCACCGCGGCATTTATTTCAGGATCGTGTCGCGGACTTTAAAATTACGTCCGCGTGCGGTTTTTTACCTAGGCGTTGTCCATTTTTTTCTCACACGGACAAGCCGCACGAATAGAAAAGAGATAATAAATTGTTCTCTATTTTAATATATCTTGCTGTGTTGTGTGTATACGTAGAAAGATATTAATATATAGTTTTCTTATGTATATATGGGGATATCTATAACAATATCTATATAAACAGCGCGAGTGGAGAAAAATATATATAAATATATAACTTGCAAGAAATTAATTTATGTAACTAGACTTTTTGTGAGTTTTAACTGAATTTTTTTTATTTGAAAATTGGGGATATATTATATTTTATAGAATATAATTATATAAATTTAAAAATGATTTAGTTGTAGTCAGTTATTATATTATCGATAATTTTAACGTAATATATAATAAAAATTATGTATTCAACTTGCGGAAAAATGAGTTTATTGATTAGGAAACAATAGCTTATCTCGCAGCTGATGCAGACATTTTTAGGAAAATCGACAACAAGCTCAAAGTGAAAGGTGACGAGTCGTGAAAATATATGGAGAACTCTCGAAAGCGTAAATTCCACAGGAATTTGTGGGGAACACTGTGGTCTCTCGGTGCTTAAACAAATATCCTTAGGGATCCTTTCGGCTAACGAACGCGGTTTCCTCGCAACAAACGCAAAAGTGATAACTCGAAGGATTCGATATAATAGCGAGGTGGATCCTTGATTTGTAAGGCCTATTTTTCAATTGCACAAAATTGCGTGAAAAGAGATTTTGTGAATTATGGATTTATCCTGCACAGAGAATTTTTCACTTTGTCCAGTAAAGCTCAAAAAGCTGGAAGTCCGATTTGCCAGCTTGCGGGGAGGATTCTCATCCCTTCGGGCTACTCTCCTTTTCTACGTACCCTTCCACTCCGGTCTTTTTATGCCGCTTTGCCACGTTTTCTCGCAATTTCTCGGTGTACTCTTTCTCCTTTTTCAGGATCCCTCCCCCCTTTCCTCCTACCGGTCTTCTTTCCTCTCAATCTCTCGTTTCACTTCTCTTCCGGCTCTTGCTTATTTTTCTTTTTCCTTATTTAACCTCAACGAGATAAACTGGAGCTCGGCGGGATGGCCGCCGTGCGAAATATCATTGGCCTCGCGTAAGTATGATATTACGAAGGCAATGAGAATAAAAAGAAAATGGCTAGGAAATTTTCCGGTACCATCAGGAAGCATACTATGGAAATTTCCAGTTCTACTCTTATGATGAACCGTTCTTCTATATGGCTTATACAGTACAGTAGTACAGTAAATACCGTTGTGTATACATGATACGTCGAGTAGAAAAATATTTCTTAGCGATACTATTTAGAAAAGAAGAGTTATTTTTTTACGAAAGAAATAATCATAATTAAGAGATTTTTGTGTAGCGTCCAATTATAGACAAAACATTAACAGAGAATTATATATAAAACATGAATAATAAAGGATATTTACGTAGAGTAAGGAACTACGAGTGTCACAAGTTAGAGGCACACGTTCGCGCGAAATATTACAGGCCTGAAATTATCAGCGCGAACTGTAAAGTAACGGTTAAATAGGCTTTATTGATTTTAGGCGTTCATCGGTAAATTTCGCCCGTGTGTAGTGGTAACAGTAAATTCAATCCAACTCTATTTGCCGGCCGACTGTTTCATTAGATAACGATTACCGTCGGCAAACGCGCGTTTGTAGGTAAAGCAAACGATACTCGAACGTTATATTCGGGGCCCTCTCGGTTTATGTACGCGCAATTATTATGCAGGCCGTGCACACGGTGTGCGCGGCCCATTACGCATCGCATGCGTATCACACAATTAATTTATGTAGATACGCGCGCGTCGTAATCGCGCACGCATACCGCTGCACCGCCGTGCCGCGCCGTTGCAGAATATCGCGTTGCGCGACGCTCCTACCTCTTCTCTCTTCCGGCCCCTTTCTCTCGTGTGAAAGACCTCATCTATAATTGAATTAATTAATGTGTATCTTCGCGCATTGTGAGCGCAGCGTAATTACCAAACGCAGTTTTACTTTTGCGAAGTTCTAGAGAATTGCTCATTATCTTTACTCAAGCATAATACTGTAGTAAACGTGATAAAACTGGAGGCTTATAAGAGGATAAAAAGTATAGATCAAAAAGTAACAAAAGTAGAAAAAAATCACAAATTATTTAAATACAACTTTATCTTTAATTAATTAATTTAATTAATCAAATAACTTATTTTAATGAGAATTGTTTGTAGATAAACGTATTAATTATTGAAAATTGCATTTCTTAGAAATATGTATGTGCGTTAAAATTTGAGAAAAAATTTTGAAATTTGAAAGACTGTCAACTATTTGTAAAATATGCTTCTTTTTGTAAAAACTTTTTTAAAATAATTTTTTTTGTTTTTATTACATTTTTACGTTAATTACAGTTGCGGCAACGCAACGTCACAATTTTAACAAAGCGCACTGGCGAACCCTGACATTAATCATATTACGATTAATTGCAAACTTGACAAATGACGAACGTATACGTTATACGCACACACGTTCACACGGTTGTCGGTCGTGCAAAGGGTAATTGATATGAGTATCTCGTATCGACGCAACACGTGTGAGAGGTATAATTGCACCGTGCGGCCGCTGCGAAAAGTGTAATTTGATGACAATGAAATGCTAATTATACCGGTAAACCGGTTTAACGTTATTTCCGCGTAATAAGTATACACGTTACGATACACTCGGTACACATTGCCGTTATATCTGTTGATGAAAAGATACGAAGGGCAATAAAATACGGGAATTAAGGTTTGCATAATGCATCGCACTCGAATGAGAATGACAGTTTGGATATGACATGTAAGAGGTGACGTGAGCATTCTTGTCTATTATTGCTTGATATAGCTTTAACGCAATTATTCGCACAACGCCAATTTTTTAATATAATTGTTTATTCTGTAAATACAATTTATATAAAACTGACGAATGCTCGTGTAAAATATTTCAAAAACCGTCACGTCGCTTTTTCGAATATTGCAATTTATATATTTATCTAATACAAATTCTTTGAGTTTAAAAGTATTAAATATGTACAAACATATATAGAATTGGATATAAATAATACAAAATTTAAAAAAAATACATTTTAAAAGAAAATTCTTATGCATGATTTTACACATATGTTTCTTTGCGCAAACATTAGTTTTAACAAAAATAATCAAAATTATTTTTTACATATACAATGTTTTCGAAATTTACAATATTTCATTCAAATGCCGGATCGAGGCATCTGTTATGCATTCTTTTTCCAGATAAAAATCCGATCGAAAGGATCGACTTGGGTAACTCAAATAAAGAAGGCTGAATGTATTGGGGAGGGAAAAGTAAGGGTGGTCCCATCGCGGCCGGTC